TACATAACATATATAAAGGTTGAGGATGAACACGGATGCGGCCACTTTCATTTTTGACAAAAACCATCCGAAAAGTGACGTTTTCTGGCATATTTGATAGATTTTTCATATTTTAGCTTGAATCGAAGCGTTTTTAATGACTACATCAGTTAAAATATGTCACATAAACTAATTTAATCAATTGAAATAGACACTTCAGTGTTTAAAAAGTGTCTAAAATCTTTCGTTAGATGAACCTGAAATTTGAGGCCAAAATCGGCCCTTACTGGACCTACTCCTTTGAGATAATTCCTTTAAGAAATAAAAAAGTTATTAGCATTTCTCATTTGGACCTGTCATTGTCATGTCATCGGTTCAGTCATTAGTGTAACCCATATTTAGATAATACTTTGTAAGTAAGTTTTTGATTGGTTGACAAAAGTGCAAAACTAACGGTATAGAATAAAAACGCGTTTGTTTTTCATACCGTATGAATTAAGAATCAACGCGTTAGGTTTTACAACCAACGCGTTGAAAATGATAACCAACGCGTTGAAAATGTTAACCAACGCGTTGAAAGTGAAAATTAACGCGTTGGAAGTAAAAACTAACGCGTTGAAAGTGAAAACCAACGCGTTGAAAGTGAAACCCAACGCGTTGAAAGTAAAAACCAACGCGTTGAAAATTTCGTACGGTATGTGTATACCGCCAATGACACGAACGGCCACTCTTACGCGTAAATCATGACGATATCTAAAAGAATCAAAGTCAAAACAAAAATGTAAACATACAAAAAACCCGCAAAGCGACTGTCTTAAATTGCAAAGTCAAAACAATGTGCGTACATTGTCAGGAAATATTTAGATTATTTGTTCTCGACACGAAACAGATGGAAAGATAGATTCCAGTTTCTGAAGATCATATACAAAAATATTTATAAAAAGAATATATGGTTTTACTTATTTCATAATCATTTTCTACTTGGGAGAAAATGAGCTGTAGATTTGATTGTTTTTTCTTTCTTCAAACTTCGTAAATTATGATAGATCAATTTTCAGCGTGCACGAGGGAGACAAACTACAAAATAAGTATCCTACTCTAAGGGTGCCATGTTTTTGTAATGGGGATAGTTTTTAAAAGATTATCGTTGTAGACCATTCTTAATATCAAGATTTAGAACTGCGACAAAAGCGCAGTTGGTTTGATAGATGTTTAGTCTATATTATAAGACTTTTGTCTCCCTTACACCAATGACGTCGACATATCCTCCTCTTCATATCTCTCTTTTATGCGGAATAAATATCAAATGTGTTGTAAACGGCACGTTGCAGATAGAAATAATAAACACAAATATAATTCAACAACCTATGTTAATATATAAACTAAAACTATACAAATATCATCATCTTCAGGTCTGTCTTCAAATGTTCTTGAATCGTTTATCCTGAAAAAGATTTGTATCAAAATATAGCGAATGATTTATTAAATAACCACATGTATTACAATAGAAGCTATGGAATAAACTAAAATCTTAAATATTTTTGCTTCTTAAATTAAGCACTAATTTTAAAGTTTCCTCTCATCAATTAAAAAGTATTTGCTACTTTTCTTTAACTACAAGAGACCATAAGACATATCTAGGTAAAATTGAGAATGCAAATGGGGAATGTGTCAAAGAGACAACAACCCGACCACATAGCAGACAACGGCCGAAGGCCACCAATGGGTCTTCAATGCAGCGAGAAACTCCCGCACCCGAAGGCGTCCTTCAGCTGGCCCCTAAACAAATATGTATACTAGTTCAGTGATAATTGACGTCATACTAAACTCCAAATTATACACAAGAAACTAAAATTAAAAATGATACAAGACTAACAAAGGCCAGAGGCTCCTGACTTGGGACAGACGCAATAATGCGGCGGGGTTAAACATGTTTTTTGAGATCTCAACCCTCCCCCTATACCTCTAGCCAATGTAGAAAAAACAAACGTACAACAGTACGCACAGTAAAACTCAGTTTAAGAGAAGTCCGAGTCCGATGTCAGAATAGGAAACAAAAGAAAATAAACAAAATGACAATAATACATAAATAACAACAGACTACTAGCAGTTACTGACATGCCAGCTCCAGACCTCAATTAAACTGATTGAAAGATTATGTCTTCATCATATGAATATCAGGCACAATCCCTCATGTTAGGGGTTTAGTATTATACCATCATAAAATATATGAGAAGAACATAACCCGTATCATGCCAACAACTGGTTTTAGAATAAATATGTTTAATTCCGATGCAAATACCCTAGTGTATGTCGTGGTAAGTTATGGAGGGTTCCTAAATATTTAATTTCTACTTGAAGGATCAAATACAAGTGTCTTAAAATCGATGCTGATATAGTTATTGGTTGTTGAAAATTGAAGTAAAACTATTATCATTAAAGAATGACATACAACTAGAGCGTACAAACACGAGTACTGAATTTTACGTACAAGTTTTAATCCTTGTATCTATGATGAGTTTGTTTCAAAACGTTTTGTTTTTTTCACAAAACATCTCCTGAACATATTACAAGGCTAATTAACTATGATTTGTAAGCACACGTTATATTCTGTTGTCTTTTTTTTTTTGGTACAATATGATTATTGACGAACTAAAACTTCTAAAAACTTATAGCATTTTACACAGACTAACCTAGTAAGATGACTTTGATGGACCACTGTGGCCTCTGCTTTGTACGACTGAAAATTAAAAAAAATGTATGTGTCATATGATATTTAGACAGTTCTTACAGAAATATTTAAAGAAAAAGAAATTGACAAATAACGGTCACACATTTCAAAATATACCACTGTGTTGTTGAAACCTTAATAGATATGTATAAAAATATTGCGAATGATTTATTAAACAACCACATGTATTACAATAGAAGCTATGGAATTAACTAAAATCTTAAATACTTTTTGCTTCTTAAATGAAGCACTTACAGTACACACTTTCTGTTGTTTAAGGCCGTACGGTGACATATAGTTGCTGAAATCTACTTTATTTGGATTCATGTGGATTGTTGTCTCATTGACAATCGTACCTCATCTCCTAATTTTATCCAGTTGAATCTATAATACTTATTTATTTCAGAAAGACTTTTAGAAAATGGCCCTTCAGTTAAACAAATGCAATTGGAAGTAGCTCTACCTTTTCAAAATTCTGCTTATCAAAATGTGCATAACAAACAATAGTTTATGCCAGAACATCTGATATAATAGCAAATGATACCCTTGTCGACCTTCATATATTGTCTATCAGTAGCTGTACCAACCAAGTGGACGTAAAGAAGGGAAAGTTTACCGTTATCGGTGCTTATATATCGTACATGCGCATTTAATATTGTTACAATGTATAATACTCCTAGTAATGTACGATTAATAAGTTGCACAATGCACAATTATAATTTGTTTTATTCGATGGTAAAACAATGAAAATGTCAATGATCAAAAGCCAACACAACAACATTTTCAAACTATTTTGCCTTTGATTTTTAATTCGCGTTGTTTAAACTTTCAGCAGTTTTGAAGGCATATTTTGTTTGTTTTTATAGTGATTAAGATGATAACACAATGTTGACTGCTGTACCCCTATTTTTGACATTTTTACCTATTGTGTCTGTTTGTTTTGTTCACGCATCGTTTTCAATATAATGGAATTTGATGCGACTGTCATACAAGTGAGAGGTTTAGCTAGCTATAAAACCAGGTTCAATCCACCATTTTCTACATAAGAAAATGCCTTTCCAAGTCAGGAATATGATCATTGTTATCCATTCGTTTGATGTGTTTGAGCTTTTGATTTTGCCAATTGATTAGGGACTTTCCTTTTTGAATTTTCCTCGGAGTTCAGTATTTTTGTGATTTTTCTTTTTGCTTTTGGTTGCTGAATTTTGTCATTTGTTTTGTTTTTCCTGCGTATTAAAATATCAAAACTTTTGTGCGCTGATTATTGTCATTTTTGTCGAACGTTTCAAGCGTATCAAAACTCTTCAACACAATCCTTTGATTTTGATCGCTGAATATTTTCCTATAGTCTCGCTAAATATTGTCATTTTGTCTCCCTGTATATTGTTCGTTTCTCTCGCGTTTTCTACATAACAAAACTTTTCAAAACTTTTGTTTTCATTTGATTTTTTAATCCCCATTCCTTTCTATTTGAGTTACTTCAAACCTTTTCAAATCTCACTTTAACTTGTCTTCTTGTCTAGCAGGTCAAGTGCATACTTGATTTACTTTGTTTTGTATTAATTTTTGAGAATATGTTTGATTGGGAAAGTATGTGCACATATCAAAAACTATTTTTGATGAGATTATCTTTATAGCTATAGAATAAAGTAATATAAAATCATTCTGTTGTTTTTTGGTTGTTCATAATGTTTCTATTAAATTAATATTGATTGAAAACTGCATAAATATCAGCATACTTTTTTATTTACGGTATTTTTAATGGCACTATTATTTTTCATCGAAAATCTTGTTTTATTCAATTATTAATATCACTTGGTTTTATGAATTTCCTGACTATGTGTGAAAATTTGGAGCAGTCAAAAAAAATGTGTTTCTTAAAAGCCGTTAGCATGTCTTGCACAACAATGGATTACATGTTTACTACAACTACAAACGAAAAGACAATTACAGTGCATCGTCTCGATTGTAACAGGAGATCTAACAAAGAAAGATAAGGTTCAAATATGCAATAAAACACATTGTATAAATTTTAAATGTAACGAATAGGAAATAAAGGCAACAGTAGTATAAAGCTGTTCAATTCTCATAATTCGATTAAGCAAAACCAAATCCGGGTAACAAACTAAAAGCGAGGAAAACACATCAACTATAAGAGGAAAACAACAGAAGAACAGAAGCACTCAACTACAACAAAAGCAAACGCCAACAACATACATAGAAACTCCAACATACATAGAAATAAGTGAAAAAGAAATTATATCGCTCCATGTAAGATTTTTATAATATATTACACGTTACCTTTATGTCTATAGTCTGATGAACCTCCTTTGCCCATTCCATGAGCAGAGCCTCCATGTCCCCATCCAGATCCATAGCCTCCATAACTTCCATATCCTGAACTTCCATGACCCCATCCAGATTTTGAGCCTCCACTGACCATTCCAGATCCAGAGCCTTCATAACCTCCATATCCTGAACTTTCTTTGCCATTTCCATACCCGTAGCCTCTATAACCTCCATATCCTGAACTTTTTTCGCCATTTCCATATCCGTAGCCTCCATAACCTCCATATCCTGAACTTTCCTCTCCATTTCCATATCCGTAGCCTCCATAACCTCCATATCCTGAACTTTCTTTGCCATTTCCATACCCGTAGCCTCCATAACCTCCATATCCTGAACTTTCTTCGCCATTTCCATATCCGTAGCCTCTATGACCTCCATATCCTGAACTTTCTTCGCCATTTCCATATCCGTAGCCTCCATAACCTCCATATCCAGAACTTTCTTTGCCAGATCCAGATCCATAGGCTCCATAACCTCCATATCCTGAACTTTCTTTGCCATTTCCATATCCGTAGCCTCCATAACCTCCATATCCTGAACCTCCATAACCTCCATATCCTGAACTTTCTTTGCCATTTCCAGATCCGTAGCCTCCATAACCTCCATATCCTGAACCTCCATGACCCAATCCAGATTCTGAGCCTACACTGACCCGTCCAGATCCATATCCTCCATAACCTCCATATCCAGAACTTTCTTTGCCAGATCCAGATCCAGATCCATAGGCTCCATAACCTCCATATCCTGAACTTTCTTTGTCCCATCCAGATCCAGAGCCTCCATTGCCCCAGCCATATCCTGAGCCTCTTTTGCCAACTACTTCATATGATCTCTCAGACCGATACCCTCCACCATTTACGTAGTCGTAACCAGTGCCATTGGCTAAACCCAGGAAAGCAATGAGGATACAAACTGCAACCTTCATTCTGTAATTATGATAAATGAAACTTATTACCTATGAATCTTGATTCATCTTCACAATCTCGTGGATTATAAATGTGTACATATACATGTTTGTAAGCATGATCACTATCCGCGGTAGGAACCGTGTTGAGGGGAACGTGCGTTTATGAGTTTGCAAAATATTTTCTTGCTTGGATCAATTTTCTTGCTTCTATCAATTTTCTGCAATCTTATTTTGTAAATGTCTATATATATGTGTGTGTACCATTGCAATGGAACTATGCAGTGTCCTCTTTTTCCCTACATGTTTAATGTATTCCATATTGTCTCTAACAAATTTATTTTTATTTTATCCCTTGAATTTCAGTCAGGCTGACAAAATCAAATATGCAACATATTTGCAGAACCACATCAGTCATGGTAAATTTTTAAATGTTTCTTCTAACAGTTACTCACCGTCACTCTTGATATTTTGTGACTTCCGGAAGTATCTGATTTACTATTTCAATGTATGTTAAACATTGTCCACATTTGCCTAATCCGACAACATATAATGACTTCGATTTTGGAGTGGCATCTGCACCTTCTGTCACACTATATAATCAATCCTTGCACATGTCATTATGACAATGCACCCATCAGACATCCAAAGTCTGTGTCAACACTTGTTTCTCTTACAAAACAACGGGCATACACCGGCATAATCTATACGATTCGCTAAAATATCGAGACATAATATTTACACCAGCCTAGATTTATCAACCCTCCCCCTAATTTTATAACCCGGGACAGTATTGTAACAGTGCAACACGAAAACAAAATAAACAAATCAGGTGAAAAGGGCATAACTCACCAGATCGATACAAAGCAGAAAAAAATTCTTACAAAAACACAGACCGTATGTGGCTGGAACTTTATACATTCCGTACAAGAAAAAAGACACAAAGTACAGATCTGAGCGTACTCGAAATTACTGACAGCCAGTTCAAAGCCAGTGACAACTCATAAAAAAGTGATGTATCTAAGACAAATCTTTTCATCAGTACCCATCCAACAGCCAGTGTAAGGAGATTATTAACAGTCAGATAAAACATGACATTGTGCAATTTTCCTAAATATAGGTATCGACAGATAGTACAACCGTGAATGTGCATATGTGTATAACAGTAATATCTAGTATGGTTTAATTTTCTGATAACGAAACCAATATTTAAACCGATACAACCAATATCAAAAACTAATCACAGTGCTGATAGCCTTTTAAAATAAACTTATTAAAAAGATTGATAATTTTACCCGGAGTGAATATGAAAGGACAAGGTTCACTTTAGTCCAACTATTGCCTTGAAATTCAATTTTATCATGATATATCAAAATGGCCATAACTTGGTCCTTAAATAAATCTATTTCAAAAATCTTACAGCTAGGTTCTAGGTTAAACAAATGTCTTCATGTGAGTACACTCTAGGCTTCAAAGTCAGCACATTTTGGAAATATTGTCAAAAATGATGATTTTGTGCATTTGTCGAACCCAAAAGCTTGAGGAAAGATTTGGTCGCAACCTAGGATCCAAAATGTAGCCAAAAGTTGACAACGATGACATTGAATCCCTAGAAATCTTTCTGGATCAGGGGTGGCGGCTAAAGAAAATTATGTTAAAACCTGTTAAGAATTATTATAAATTTTACCAAAACTGACGTTACAGCACAATTATGCATACTCGATGGATCATTTATTCGTTATTTTTAGTGTGATGTGCCAAAAAGGAAGTTATTTTGTAGTAGTAGTAACATAACTATTTATATGTAAAATTAATAGTATTTTAGCGTGAATAAAAATAACATCAAATTCGTAGGACCAATTTTAACCCTTCGCGAACTTACTCCTTTCCGGCCTCGGTAAACAACATCACCGTAAAAATTAGGATGTGCTAGTCCGTTTGAAAAAAAGTTTTATACAAGTATAACAAAATATCAAACCGAATCTTTGTAATATTTATGGAAGAATTTAGTAAATGTTTTAAGTAATTTGTGGTATACACAACCTGACTTATTACTATATCAGTAATACATAGATTATGCTCATTGAACGTCACTACATACATGAGTATAGCGAACAAGTTGGGAGATATAAAAACCTTAAGACGGTGCTTTAAGAAAATCACCCAAAAAAAAGTTATTAAAGAAAAATCGTCCTATTTGTCATAAAGTTTTGTGGAAATTCTTGTGTAAAACTGAACGATCTTAATTGAGGAAAGGACAGTCATTGTTGTTATTATTTGAATTATTTTAAGTAAGTCCTTTTGAGTACATTTCAGCAGTATAATAAAAGACTTCGTGACTATTTAAGAAACAAATATCGTCTACCGAACTGTCTACCGAATTTAAAAGAATTTTTTACTCTCCAAAAATTGTAATTTCCACTATTTTCATATGTTTAATTACAAGAGTTAATGATAAGTTATTTGATAGTAGTTAAAAGACTTGTTTAAAGCAATGAAAGCTAAGTAGTAGAACACTCACTAGAAGCCGAGGTGAAATGATATTTTATGCGTTTTTGTATAGTTTAGGTAACCTTCAAATGTTGAAGATGGTCAAATAAACAAACTTGATGGTTTTCCACTCAGTTAATCTGTTTGAATCTTTCATTTGTGTACAGAGAAATTGAGTGTTATTTTAGTTTCATTTCAATCAATACAATACAAGCTGGTTTTATCAGAGGGGAATATCAAAATAATTTTACTTTTACACCTTCCGATGTAGGGGACATGAATATAAAAATCCATGAAAGTGTTGAAGTTCATGAAACACAAATTGCATGTAACTGCAATATATATCGGGTCTTCCATGCCTTAAAATGTTACTGTTACGAATGTTTTTCTGTACTCAGAATATATTTTAGTTTTAAACCATAACTAAATTTTCCAAAATGCTATGATGCTAATGATGATGAGTGGGATGGCTTAACGTGAAGTGACAAATCAAATGCATATTCAGGACGAGAAATTGTTGATCTGATGTGAATATGAACCATAATTATTTGTACTAAAGCAGCACGCTGACTCAGATTTTTAACATGCAAGTTCACAAGGTAACAGTCTAATTGGAGACACGTCACCATATCTAGATACAATTATTATGATTCTGGGTTGACTAGTGATTACATTCACTCCCAAAGACGTCGTGCTTTGCGGAGCAGCAACTGATCCTTGGTTTGACACGGTCTGTGATCAAACCAAGGACTCTTTTCACTCAAGGCGCTTCCTACATTCTGAAGTTATGACGGGACATACAATATATTTCAAAAAACAAAATCTTCTTAAAGTTAATCTAGTAACAGATTACATATATATATAAGATAACTAAGATCAAAGAACTAGTGCATTTTAATCTACAAAAATAAAGTTCATCTGAGGTAAAAACTGCAATTTTACTAGAGAAAATTAAGACCTTCGGATAGTAGATTTTTCACAAAGATATACATAAACATATCAGTTTTTTTGGCACAAAATAAAGTTGCTCATTAAAAAAACGAGAACAAATATGTATACGGTATGAACACACAAGAGTAACATACGATCAGTTTTGTTAAAGAATACCGCATCTTCATAAATAACTTTAGTCCTCATCACTAGACATTTTACACATGAAACTTTGAAGTCACATAAAAGACTCCAACGGTAATATTTTCTTGAATATCTAAGTATCATATTTAACTGGAGAAAGGAAATTTGACATTCTGAATGATTGACCGTGTTCAAACACGATGAACTAATATCCTGAAATGTTCTCCGCATCTGAACAAAAACAAATAAAAAATTCTATACTTTTAAGCTAATTCTATAATACTTAATTACTGTTGCTATATCTGCCTTTAATATATGAGCTCGTATATTCATCATTTAAGACCTTCACGTAACTAGCAATGAAGTTATAAAGCCCCTTATGTTAGGGATATTTCCTAGTACTTTATTAGATGCATTTCGAGTGTTTTATATTCCAGTTTGAAATTTAGGATAGTTATAGTAGAAGCTTTGCAATTTGATTTTCGTTATCTAAGAAAATGTACTTACATTGTGACTATTGAGGATGTGATCTGATACTGGTGATAGTGAAGACACTAGGAAAAAGGGACTTTTATACTCTTCCAAATCATTATAATTGTAATTTAGATCTCTCGTAATTTAGATTTACGACAAATTTAACCAATCGTGTAGCCTTTTGTTTACACAGTAATCAAAGCAAAAAGTAAAGATTTATTTTGTTTATAATGATTAATTGTAAGTATGAAACAATGAATAGGTGACATGACTTGAAGGATCGAAAATATAAGAAAAAAGTTAGTCGCTGCTTCTATGTAAGCTCAAGAAATAAAAATGTAGTGGCGTATGACGTTGTATCTACTAAATTATTTCACAGTTGATCAGCAAGCTTGAAATTAATGTTAAAGTGATAAAGTTTAAGAATATACAATACAAAACACTTAATTATCACACATTATACAAATAACTCGTTCTCTGTATGGTTGATTGATCTCTATTTCACCTAAAAGACAGTTGAACCACAAAATCCCGAAGTCAGAGGTTATGGGAATATAACGAGTCATCTTTGTGTAATGTAATTTAATGTGAATATTATTTTTATTAAACTTTTAGTGACTTACAAGTCGTCAAATATATTCGAAAGGTACAGAGAAAAGCCACTGTAAACATCTAAATTCACTTCAATAAACGTTTCTGAATAAAATAAATAACAGGTTAACAGGATTTGTCAAAAAGTATCGCATAGTAGAACAGAACACATCAAACACCAACACCCGACTGCTCCGAAAATCATACATACACACAAAGGTAAGCAACAAATTAAATATACATAGTTCTCAGCATAGTATGTGTATCTAAGACACACATACTTAATTGATTTATTGATTGATTAATTAAGGTTTAACGCCACATTCAGCACTATTGACTGTTTCGTGGTGGTCAGTTTTTATTGGTGGAGGAAGCTTGAGTGCCTAGAGAGA